AGAGAGAGAGAGAGAGAGAGAGAGAGAGAGAGAGAGAGAGAGAGAGAGAAAAGTGGTTGGGTAAGAGCGACCTGGTGCGAAGTGAACAGCGTATTCGGCCGGTCAGCGGGGGAGACGCGGGTTCGAAAGGCGCCTGGGATCTGATTTTTGCACACAACTCATGCACTCAGCATTGACGGCGCACTTTGCGCTCTGAAGTCATCATTTTTGTGACCGCAAACTGCGGCGTCAGACAGCAGTCATCATTCTGAAAGAGAGCAGTTAAGGTTTTCTCAAAAGGAAAGAAGAGTGATGGAGAATCGGGTCTTCTGGCGCAGCAGTCCTTTGTAGGAGGTGGTGCGAAGAACGAAACTACTATTGCTCTTCATTAGCTCCCGCTGATTGATGTGTCCCTCTGGACTTATGGCTTTTCGAACTCGGTCCAATTGTGACTTGAATGATCTCAAAGCTATCGAGTAGGCTGTTCGTGCTTGACAACTCAAGTGTTTTAGTCCATGAGTCCTGCTGCAAGTGATCCAACTTGTATAAGCATCCGCCCTTTGAGCCGCCTTCCAGACTCGGGTGAACCGAACGGCACCCCTAGGCCCCGATTCTCCTCCCTGATCATGTAGTGTGTCAAATAAATGCTAGATGACGCCCAGCTTAGCCCTCCAAAAGAGGCTTAACGGTGATTATGCGGATGCAAAAATGGCGAGGTCATGTCATATCAAAGTGCTACGTGAAAGCGCACTTTCGAGGCGTGATTTTATTTCAGTATTCCCTCTCGGGTGCCAACAGTCCTCCTACTCGAGGAGAACCATCACGTATTGATTCCTGTTGCACATCCTATGTACACTGCCTTGCAAGTCGTCCAAGTAGATAAACTGCAAGGCAAGAACTCACGAATTGTATGAAATTAGCGGTTGATGAGCCGATTGCTGCGAAGAGATTGAAGTTGAGGAATGTTGTGAGGCCAGGATACAGGTCCTCTTGAAAAAGGGATAAAATTTAAATTGTGCTTGAGCTTGAATTCGATGGAATGAAGAAGCTGGCTTACTTGAAATGGCGCTGTTCCAGGGTTCCCCTTTTCGATTAGGCGTAGTACCTGCGAGTATGGTGGGAAACACGGAGAGCGTGACGAAGAATACCAGAAATATACTGAGTAATTGCATCCAGCACTAAAGCATAGGGCTAATTTTGCGAAAGAACAGCTATAGAAGCGATTCGGAATTACTGGAAAGCTCTTCTCAGTCCCTTGGGGACCTCTGCTCCCCACATCATAAACTGCGGCAAAACTGTTCAGAAGTATAGTAATACGCACGCCTTTGAAAGTCTCGTAGAACTGTCGTAAACTGGGCCGAGTAGAATGTTCGGCGATACGGCTCAATTCTCCTTTCCTCACGTAGAACTTGTAGAATTTCTGAAAAGAACTGATCCACCAGTAAGATCTGATATGGGCGCCGAAGTAATTGGAAGGAAGAGCGCCTCTATGTCGCTTCCGTAAAACAAGGTTTAAACTACTCGGAACCATTTCTCCTTTGCGAGACTGAACCTCGGCGACTGGTTTTCTGCGCTCTGGGCTCGAGTCTTCGGTGGGAAAAGGACACAGAGGCGCTGTTTCTGACACCTCCCCCCACCCCTTCCAATTGCGTTAGCGCCATAATACGTTGTATAACAAAAGATTAATCACATACGAGTCGTGTGACGTATATCAACGATACGCCACATAAGACGAGAGTCGCAAGTGAAATTGAGAAGTAAATCAGCGCCACGGTTTTGTAATTGCTTGGAAATGCTGAAAGATGCTTTTGTAGTAGTCTGGTTTGGCTTTTCTTCTACTTCCATTTTATTAACTACTCATTTTTGGGCGCAGTTCGGCTTGGTGGGGACATTTTGTTGGTTTCTGTCAATCACTGTCAATGCCTGCTGTGGCCACCTGCAAACTCCAGTAAAGCTATGCAGTAGCAGGAGCTTCGTTTAGAGTTGACAAGAATCTACAGTTCTTTCCAGGCTGAGACGTGCAGATCAACAGGAACTTGCAAAAGAATTTAGCGAAAGGCAAATGCCTCTCCCAGGTCGAACAGCGCTCTTTAATGTTTATGAGTTTCGCTTGCACTGCTACTACACGGTTCTATGCCGTGTTGGTTTTGGCGCACCTAAAGCGCAGTAAATAGATAAATAAAATTGGACTCACCTACGGTGGTTATTATTGAAAGAAGGCTGGTGAATGTACCACAAATATTAGTACCAACCACGAGGGCGTTTGTATAGTTGGCCGGGAAATCAGCTACTAAACCGAATACTGAGTTCTAAAAACTGTTGATAGTATGCGAAATCGAGCAGTAATAAACTGAAAGTTTCGGCCATTCGCCGTTCAGGGCGTGCCACGTCTTACGTAAATGGTTTCCTGCATTCTGCAGGGGTTACACATAGATGAGAAAATCTGGCTCTTCTCTGGGCACATCATTCGTTGGAGATTTTAGTCGAGTCATGTACGACCCCCCTTTTTTTGAGGTTGGTACGACCCCCCCCTCCGGCCCTCTGTCCCTCCTCATCGAATCGAGCCGTCGAGCGGGGGAGGGGGGTAAATAGCACATGTGAAACAGGAAAAGCCGCGAGACAATACGATCAGATTTTCCCTGCCACTTTTTCCAAAATTTCCCGAAAAGTTCCCTACTTTTCTGAGGGGGGAGGAGGTATATACCAAGCATGAAACAGGAAAATCACGAAAAGTCAACCACCACTCCTAGAAAGCCAGGAAGTAAATACGACCCCCCTCCCAACAATGACCAAGTACGACCCCCTCCCCCTTTACAACGTCCGTGAAGCGAGAAAAATCAACTACCAAATGAATTTTTCCCAACCCCCCCATATTGGAGATTCCTCAACAAAGATGAGCCCTGGCTCTTCTTCGTTCTTCGAATGAAAGAAACCGACCGGGACGCAGCTATAGATCAGTCCATTTAGGCAGCGATCAGAGTTCACGATGACGCGCGTCGACGCGCTACAACACAGCCCTATAATCCTATAGACGCGAACGTAGCCGCAGACGGAAATCGGTCTGCTCCGGACGTTTGTGTTTTGAGAGAGTACAGGATAATATGAGGGTAAGTGCTGCCTTCACACAATCAGGTGCTCTCTCATTCTTCTATACCCTCCGTGCGCCTTAGCGGCCAGTACCGACCGATGGAGAGTACGCGGTTAGGCAACGCGTAACCTTCTTTTCCCTCACATTCTCTCGATAAGCGCCCAGTGTTCACCGATTGCCGAATGCTGCCGCGTTTGTAATTGTAGCGCATCTTTGCGAAGTCTGAACATTGTTCTACCGTCAGTAGTCGCACAATCTGGCTTTCACTATGGTAGGCTCTTGGTGGCACCATGGGGTTAGCCCATCATTCTGGTCCTGTTGGTGACCAGCGTTTTGCAACATCCGGAACTTTGTTATCCTACGATTCCACTGCTTAATCCGTTCACGATACGCGCAAGTGATACACCGTTCACAGCTGCGGACTGATACCCGTTACTAGGGAGCATCCCAACAGGGGAAGATGATTATGCCCTTCAGAATTGATTTCACCGAGTTAACAGGCACTTTTTGCCGCTATGGTAAATTGGGCGTGACCCACAGGGGAGCGTCTTCCATGCAAAACATCATCTGAAAAATAGCGCGACTATTTGTCGCCTTTGTTGTTGTTTGTTGATTGTTGTTCTGCATGAGCGCACAGGGGACGCATTTTTTCAAGAGCTGCTAGGATCGAGGAGAAGGTTTGCTGTGCCCGAGCAGGGCACCGCCTATCGTTTGAGGGGTACATTTTTTGTTTATGTATTCATATGGATATTTGGTCATCTTTTTAACGTCTTGGAGGGGACCAGGCTTGGGCCCCACTCGAACCGAATAAGGACAAACGTCTGACCTGATACAAGCCATTGCAAGCGTTCATCACCATCACTATCACTAATGATACAATATAGAACCAATGCATTGCTGAAAAAAGTTTCCATCTTATTACATGAAGGAAACATCCGCCACCTCCTACTGTACTGTGCAAACCTGACCATCTTCTGAAGGATCTTGAAAAATGACCAGCGCCAATATAATGGCAACGTTGATGCAGTTCGCAGTGAGTGGGCCGGCTATTCGGATCATGAGCG